TATTAATACAGGGTAATGTTATTATCTTAAGAGATCTAAAGTATGGTATGCAACTTTCTGTAGACTTTATCCCACATATAGCTCGAATACACTGTTTTTGAGCTTTCATAATTAATTCCCTGTATGTTGATAGTCCCCAAAATATGATACCATATCGCAGGGTCGAAGCCACAAAGCCATGGTACGCTGTTAGAACAGTTTTTCGGTCAGCTATTTTCGACAGTTTATATAGTGCAAATGAAAATTTATACATTCTTTTGCAGACTTCTATTGAATGCGATTCCCATGACATGTTGCTATATATAAACAGCCCAAGGATATTAGCTACTTTTGTTTCAGAAATTGTTTTATTTCCATAACTTATTATTAGATTTGGAGTACTTTTTCTTTGTGTAAATTGCATAATTTTTGTTTTTTCTAGATTAACTTTGAGATTATTTGATTTTAACCACTTAATAATGTTTTTAATAGCAAAGTTAATATTATTTTGATATTCTGCTACACTGTACAAAAATAGTGCTATCGTCTGCAAATAGTATCATTGGGTATTTACAAGACTCGACGATATCATTGATGTATATTATAAAGAGCAACGGACCCAAAACACTTCCCTGTGGAACGCCACGCTTTATCGTTCTATTATTAGACGTATATATTTTTTCTTGTCTTGTAGAGATACAGATCTGACTGATTACGGTTTTTTGTGTCCTATCTGTTAAAAAGGATTTTATTAAATTGAGTGCATTACCTCTTACACGATAACGGCTTAGTTTTTCCAGCAGTATATTATGATCTACAAAGTCAAATGCTTTCGTCATGTCCATATAAATTGCACATGATGGGATCCTTTTATCTAGACAAATCACTGCCCTTTTTACTAAGTCGTATATTGCTGTTTCGATTGCAGTATTTGTGCGAAATCCTTTTTGCTCTTTGTTTAAAATATTATGTTTTTCCAAAAATTCGTAAAGCTGGCCATGAATAATGTTTCCAAATATTTTTGAGAAAATTGATAGCAGTGCAATTGGACGATAATTATTGGCAATATGTTTATCACCTTTTTTTAAATAATGGCTTTACTACAGCTGGTTTCAAATTGTTTGGAAATATACCTGTAGTAAAGCTTAAATTAGTAATATGACTCAAAGGTCTTGCCATTGTAGAGCTAACATGTTGTATTACTTTTGTACAAACGTCGTCAAAACCAACACTATTAGTATTTTTTAGACTATTTATAATTTTACACACTGAGTCAGGTGTTGTCGGTGTAATTATTATTGAAATGAGATAAATGACTTAAATTTACATTATTATTACAATTATTTTTAGAATTGTTAATGTTATTATTTGAACAAATGTCAGTATTAATAGTATAATTTTCAGTTTCCATGTCATCAATAAAAAAATCATTAAACGCATTAGTGATGTCAATAGGGTTGTTTTTTTTTCGGCTTTTGTATTGCTAGCTTCAGATTATAGCCTAACAGCAGATTTGTAAATTCTCGACTATAGTTAGGCCGTTCAGAGAATGCGTTCCTGACACGTCGCGATTGAACTGACGTCGTAATTTTGTAATGGCGTTGCAGTTACGATAAAATATTTTTGCTGTTTGTTTACCGTTTTAACAATTGATGAGCATTAAAACAACATTATTATATCAATAATCAATGAATATTATAATTTTGTGCCAAACTGAGTGTCAAATAACTTGGTAAACAATATTTTTCTAAAGACTATGTCAGCAAGATTAAGATACAAGATTATGTCAGCGCTTTATATTTGTAGTGCTGTGCTAACAATAACAGGCACTAACAGTATCGTAATCTGTTCTTACACAGTTATACTTTATAAAATAATACGTTTTGTTTTTCTTTTTAAGAATTTGAAATTAATGGACTATAAGATAACTTTTATTAAATATAAAAATAAAACTACGACCAAACCGAACGCGCGAAAGAAAGTAGCATTTTTATATTTAGGTTGAAAATGGTAAACCCCAAATGGCTTTATGGGCCGCCATTTTGTGACGCTAAAACAGTCGTCTGTTGTCGTTTCGTGCGCATAGACCACGTTCTTCAAGTGTTTTCGATCTGTTTTTATTTGATTACCCGGCTTTCGTTTAATGGACTGTTTCTGCTTTTCAAACTGACATCGGCGCTAAATCGGACTTCGATTGTGTTTTGTATTGCGTTCTTTTTACTTTTGGTGCATAATAATGCCTAAACGTGGACAAACATTGAAAAGTGGAGCCCGTGAGTTAATCATCTAGCTGCAAGATTACTTTGAGCGGGAGCGGCAAAATGGCGGACCCCTGTTACCTGTGACAAGTACAAGAACGCGTCTCTCAGGCGCTTGGAGTTAGCAAACGAACGATAACAAATATTAATAAAGAAAAGTTCGGCTCTACTGGCACGGAAGATAATATTTTACGTACTCCTAAGAAGAAACGTAGAACTAAACCCGTGACAGATATTGACACCTTTGACGCCGATGCAATCAGAAATCATATATATGGTTACTATTCCAGAAATGAATATCTCAACAGGAAGAAGCTTTTGGCATCGTTAAGAGAAGTTGGACTGTTTAGCGGGGGTAAAACTGCTTTAACCAAAATCTTAAAAGATATTGGTTTTTCGTATAAAAAAACAGACAAAAGAAAAATTTTATTAGAACCATACGACATAATTTTAAAACGGATAAGTTTTTTGAGAGAAGCAAAAAATATTGATAACTGGGATAATGTCGTGTTCATTGACGAGATATGGTTAAACGCCAATCACACGGTTTCCCGTTCTTGGACGGATGATACACAAACGTTGACGTTGAAAGTACCAATGGGTAAGGGGGCCCGTCTGATAATATACCACGCAGGTTCTGCAAAATACGGCTTTGTGGAGAACGCGTTACTGGCATTTCAATCAAAAACCACAAATGACTACCACGAGGAAATGAATGCAACTACATTTAAAAAGTGGTTCCAGAACGTGCTTTTGCCCAGCCTACCAGAGCCTTCCGTAATATTCATGGATAATGCCTCCTATCACTCGGTTCAAATCCAGAAACCACCTACCCAAGCTAATAAAAAAGACGAAATGGTGGCTTGGTTACAAGCAAAAGGCATTGACGCAAATATGCAGATGCTAAAACCAGATCTAATTAAATTAGTTAAAGAAAATAAAGCGGCAAATGTGCGATACGAAATTGATGAACTGGCTCTGGAGTACGGTCATCGCGTTCTAAGAATTCCACCGTATCATTGCCAATATAACGCGATTGAGCTAATCTGGGCTCAAATAAAAGGTTACGCCGCCCGCCACAATACTTCCCCGCCACTCAGCATGAAAAAGATGATGACCCTATTAAAAGAAGCCTGCGGGGAAGTCTCAAGAGATGACTGGGCAAAGGTTGTTGAGAAGACTAAAAACCTGATTGTGGAACATTTTGACCGAGATATCAGGATTGATTTTGTTATTGATAATAATATAATTATACATGTAGGCGAAGATGATGATGAAGACACCACATCCTCAAGCGAATCGGAGTCTGATTAATATTCTGTACGCACATTCAATTCAATGTACTTTATTGCACAGAAATACAGATTGTAACTCTGTAACAAAGAATAAATAAAACAATTTTATTATATTAATATTACCTTTTTTGGTTTCCACTTAAATTACTAAAATATAAATTTTAAATGATTCCGCCAATTTAAAACGAAAATAATCTTAAAAATAACGCGGCGGTTTATTTTGGAGGAACGGTAACGAACTCAGTGTTATGTTGTGCCCATCACTAGTCGTGACTAACTGATAGGTGTCAGGAACGATTCTCTGAACGGCCGAACTATAACAGAAGTATTTTTCAGAATATCAATGTTAAAATCGCCACAGATAATTATATTTTTATTTTTAGTATTTATCACAGTATTTAGAATGCCTCTAAAAGTATCATAGAACGTATCCAGACAGATTTATTTGTGTTAGGAACTCTATAAATACATATCACAATCATGTTATGGTCACATATTTCTACAGCACAGGTCACTATCACACAATTAATCGAGAATTTCTTAATATTATCAACTACTCTATACTTTAATCCATTTCTTACTAAAATACATGATCCACCACGTCTTTTATTTCTTGAAAAAACTGGTAGCTAATGTGAAATTAGGTATTGTAAGGAATTCTTCCAATTCTGGTATCATATTGTGCTCGGTCACAAATAGAATGTCGATAGCTTTTTTTTGTCTGTCTAACTCATCCAGATTTAAAACTAACTCATCACATTTGTTCAATAGTCCCGATATGTTTTTATGTAATATATGTAAGTAATTTTTGTAGAAATAATATTTGTTTGGCAATATTTTGCATTAAATTTTGTACTCTATTTTGTTTTATTTTACCAGTATACTGTGAAAACATATCATATGTTAAGTCCAGGTTTGAATCAATGTAATAGCCATATTTATTAGTGTTTATGTCCTGATTAAGTAGGTAATTGAAAGTCTCTACTCTGTAGTTATATAATGGCTATCCACATATGTATGTTGGTGAAACTACGATTACGTTTGTATTTTTTACTTGTTCCAGCCTGGTTTTGATTGTTTTCACCAGACCTTTGTAGTCTTCTGAGGTATTAAAATCCGATTCTCCGATTATCACAACACAGTAGTCGTGTTTTGTATAGTCCTTTAATTTTTTATGTATATTTTTTAAAATTATCTCTATCCCAGAATTTGTAGTTATAAAGTGACATAACTCATACTGACTTAGAACATGGTTTCTGTTTACATTTTGTAGTATTTTATATCTCTTGTCACTTGTAAGTATACATAATTTGTGTTTTAATGGTTTATGTAATGATTTAGTATCTTTATGTACATGATTTTTTGTGCAATTATTAAGTTCTAAATCAGTTTTTGGTGTTATTTTGTCTTTCAATTGCTTTTCTAAGCTTTCGATTCTTGTGCATAGATTGCTTACTTCTTCTTGAGCTTATTTCAGGTTTTGTTGTAATTTTGCGATTGTATTTTCCAAAACAAAAATTTGCTCTGTCTTTTGCTTATCTGGAGTCATATTATTAGGAAAACTTGAGGACAAACTCTTGCGCTGTTTTTTTTTTCCAATTTGTGGGGTTTTACATATATTTTTCATAATAAGTAGCTCTTGTGTCAATTTGATGACTTGTCGTCTTAATTCATTATTTTCCAAAATTGTTCCGTCTAATTCAGACTCGCAACTCTTTAATTTAATTTGTAAGTCATCTATTTTCATATTTTGTTTGCTCACAATATCAAGTTCAAATACTAATTCTAAACTGTGTGATAAATCTTCTAAGGATTGGAAACTATTGTTTAATGATTCAACAGGCAATTTCATCGATAGTGATTTTGCTAATAATTTTTCTTTAGGTAGTAGTGTCTGGCCAGTTTTTGGTGAGCTATTTGGAGATTCTGAGTCAAAAGCATTCATATCGTTACTTTCAAGGGTTTCATCAGTCCTTTTTTTACGTATTGTGATATTCACAGTGTCTTTTTCTAGGGATGGAGAGACGACTGTATTTTTTTACTTTTTATGCATTTAAAACATCTCCATGATTTTTTAGTCTCATTTGTCCATATTCTAAAACGAGCGAAAGTTATGTTTGCACAATCAATATGGTCTTCTGTACAGAAGACTGAAGAGTACAATCTGCCACTTTGCCTGGCGTATGTGGACTATGAGAAAGAGGACATACCAGAGCACACACAAAGGATTCATACCATTTTGTGAGTGAGATAAAAGACCTACATCTCGCTAACAATGAAACTATGGTCAGTTTTGATGTTCAGTCACTATTTACATGCCTACCTATTGTGGACTGCATCTCAATTGTAACTAGGAAGCTAGAAGAAAATAACATGCCTCAAGAATATGCAATACTACTTGAACATTGCCTCACATCTGGCTATCTATTGTGGAAGGAGGAGTTCTACAAGCAAGTAGATGGTGTGGCGATGGGCTCACCTGTGTCTCCCATAGTCGCCGACATATTCATGGAGGACTTTGAGGAGAAAGCCCTTCTTACTGCTCCTGTAAATCCAAGGTTCTACAAGCGGTACGTAGACGACACTTTCACAATTTTACCATCTGACAAAGTAACTGCATTTTTAGACCACCTTAACTCCATAAACTCTAAAATACAATTCACAATTGAGTTAGAGGCAAATAATTCTTTAGCTTTCCTAGATGTTTTAGTCATCCGAAATCCTGATAACACTATTGGTCACACTGTGTATAGGAAAAAGACCCATACCAACCGATATCTAAATGGTGAATCTCACCATCATCCTTCACAGTTAGCTACCGTGGGTAAATCTTTGTTTCAGAGAGCACGAGGGATCTGTGACAGAAAACATCTGGCCGCGGAGCTTCAGCACGTCAAGCAAGTATTGCAAGACAACAAGCTTCGGGTCCCGCGCCTACGTCACAGTGAACGAGTGAAGCCGGCAACAGTCGAGCGTGCACCTGCTCTACTACCATATGTTGGAGGAGTCACGGACAAGATTGGCTACATCTTGAAGCGAGCGTCCATTAAGACATACTACAAGCCGCTGAAGAAGATTAGTCAATTTTTACCATCCATCAAATGTAATATTCCTCTACAAGATGCAGGTGTGTACAAGCTAGATTGTGAATGTGGTCTCTCTTACATAGGTCAAACAAAGAGATCTATAAAAACCCGCGTGAAGGAACATATAGCTGATGTGAAGCACCGACGCTCCGGGAAGTCTGCAGTCTGCGAACATGTTCAAGATCGTCCCCACCATTACATTAGATTTGATAAACCACAAATTCTCGCAAAAGAACACCGATTCCTACCAAGGATGATACGCGAGGCTATTGAAATTAAAAAACATCCAAATTTCAATAGAGAAGATGGTTGGGTGCTACCATCTGCTTGGGATCCTATAATCAACAAAATTAAACCCAAACCCAAGCATACCACTGCAAGACTTCATGATACTATAAGCTCGCTTTGTGTAAATCGGACCAAAAATTAATATTAAAAAACTGAAGGTAGCCGGACTAACTATGACATTGGGACGTCAAACATCTCAGTCCCCCCCGTGACCATGGGCGCTGTAAAGCACCCGAAACGTCGGGATAATAATAAAAATAAATTAAAGTAATTAAACGCGATAAAATCCGTAAATAATAATTTTATTCAATATGAGAAAGCCTTTGATTCCGTCGAAATTTGGGCGGTGCTACAGCCCCTTCAGCGGTGCCAAGTTGACTGTCGGTATATCGAAGTGCTGAAGTGTTTGTACAGTAGGGCTACGATGGCTATCCGAGTACAGAACCAGAGCTCGAAACCTATCCAACTGCAGAGAGGTGTAAGACAGGGTGACGTTATATCCCCGAAACTCTTCACCGCTGCATTGGAAGACGTTTTCAAGCTACTGGACTGGAAAGGATACGGTATTGACATCAATGGCGAGTACATCACTCACCTTCGATTTGCCGACGATATAGTCCTTATGGCAGAATCGCTGGAGGACTTAAGCACTATGCTCAATGACCTCAATAGTGCCTCCCAACGGATAGGTCTTAAGATGAACATGGACAAAACAAAGATCATGTTCAATGTCCATGTCACACCTATGCCGGTAGTTGTTGGGAGCACTATGCTCGAAGTTGTTGACGAATACGTTTACCTGGGACAAATAGTCCGACTAGGTAAGTCCAACTTCGACCGAGAGGTCAATCGACGGATTCAACTCGGCTGGGCAGCGTTCGGGAAATTACGGCATATCTTTTCGTCAGGTATACCTCAATCTCTAAAAACTAGATTGTACAACCAGTGCGTGTTGCCAGTGATGACTTACGGATCTGAGACGTGGTCTTTCACTGCTGGCCGTATGAGGACGCTTAAGGTCGCTCAGCGAGCTATGGAGAGGGCTATGCTCGGAGTTTCTCTGCGTGATAGACTCAGAAATGAGGATATCCGCAGTAAAACCAGAGTGACCGACATAGCCCAACGGATTAGTAAGCTGAAGTGTCAATGGGCCGGCCATATAGCTCGAAGAACCGATAACCGATGGGGAAGAAAGGTTCTCGAGTGGCAGCCTCGTACCGGTAGGCGTAGTGTAGGGCGACCCCCCACTAGATGGAGTGACGACCTGGTAAGACATGCAGGAAATCGATGGATGCAGGTGGCTCAGGACCGTGCTTTGTGGCATTACTTGGTGGAGGCCTATGTTCAGCAGTGGACTTGTGAAGGGCTGTAATGATGATGATGATGATGAATCAATATGGTAGATATTATTACAAACTGAACAAATTGTGAACTGTCGATTTTCTATTATTGATTTATAACTCGTACGAATTAACTTGAGACCAGGGCCGATGACGTAATTGTCAATGTACGGTGTGTAAAATAATGCGTCGTAATATTTTTTTATTTGAAATTTTTGAGATTTGCATGAGATTATTAATAAAAACAAAATAAAATGTTCTGGCAAGGGGTGAAGTAATAAGTGATATACTATTGCCATTTTTATATATTTTAAATATTTATTTTTTATAATATATATAATATTATTTTTAGTTAACGCGTCAAGGAAGGACAAAGAAATAAACATACACACTTTCTCATTTATAATATTATTAATTTATTTATTATACACTTTATTGCACTATAAAAAGTGTTACAGATTCGTACACAATAAAAATACAAAGCATAACAGGCGACCTTATTGCTAAAAAGCAATCTCTCCCAGGCAACCTTAGGGTGAAAGTGAATCAATCTTGGATAAGCGGAACAGCACAAACTATCCGTAAAAAAAATGCTATCGGTACTGAGCGCGCACGGCCAGAGCGGGACGCGGTGCGGGGAGTCGGGAAGGGGGTCGCATTCCAGCGGAGTCTCAAGTTAATTCGTACGTGTTCTACATTTGTAACAACATTTCTTTAAAGGAGTTTGTTGTTTTTGCTCCATGTTTGTATTTATGTTAGAAAATTAAAGACAAAAATATTTCTGTCTGCCTCGAAGCTCGATCCTCCGTCGTATCGGTGTCTAACCAAGTCAGTTGTATCGTTCGACCAAGCGTGCTCATTAATAACAATTGAAATTAAGCATTATATTCCATTTCTTCCGCATACTCGTGGGTAGATGAAATTTAATGATAATGTAGTTTGATAGATGGCGTTGTAATCACCAACTATATAAAAACGACCATAAGTTGTAGAATCGAATGTACAAATTTGTTTGCACTTAATCATAATATTTGAATAAAATTAACCGTCAGATTAATACTTTTCATGTTAAGCGAATAATAAAGAAATATCTTCACTTTTTGCACAAGAATATTGTAGTTTGGAACAAAATCATAGTATTTTTAGTCTTCTTTGGTTGTTGTAATATAAATTATGTCCAAATTTAATGTCACAAATTCACCGTCACTTTTTGTTAATTAATTCACAAAACACTTTGTATTTACCGAAGATAACATTTATACGATTTATTCCAGTCAAAACACACACCAATATTACTTTCTTAACTAGAATTTAACTATATTGCTTTTTGTTAATTAATTACTACGGAGCTTATGTTTACACACTGGCAGCGCCATCTGAACTTGAATCCACTACACATCTATATGTTATGATTATTATTCACCATAAACTGCTTTAGTTCTTCGAAAATACATTTTCATTAATATATTTAACTTGTATAGTAAATTATATTTATTTAAAAATTGTTTTTTTTTTTCACTTTATGAACTATGATAGCAACACTTGGTATTTGACGAAAATATTCAGAAAGTACGAGTTTTAATGGTAATCATCATTCATCATCATTACAGCCCTTTAGAAGTCCACTGCCGAACATAGGATTCCCCCAAGGTATGCCACAAAGCACGGTCCTGAGCCACCTGCATCCATCGACTTCCTGCATGTCTTACCAGGTCGTCACTCTATCTAGTGGGGGGGTCACTCTACACTTCGCCTACCGGTACGAGGCTGCCACTCGAGAACCTTTTTTCCCCAACGTTTGTCGGTTCTTCGAGCTATATGGCCGGCCCATTACCACTTCAGCTTACTAATCCGTTGGGCTATGTCGGTCACTCTGGTTCTACTGCGGATATCCTCATTTCTAAGTTTATCACGAAAGAAACTCCGAGCATAGCCCTCTCCATAGCTCACTGAGCGCCTTTGAGCGTCCTCATACGGCCAGCAGTGAAGGACCACGTCTCGATTCCGTAGGTCATCACTGGCAACACGCTCTGGTTGTACAACCTAGTTTTCAGGTTTTGAGTTATACCTGACGAGAAGATGCGTCGTAATTTCCCGAACGCTGCCCAGCCGAGTTGAATCCGTTGATTGACCTCTCGGTCGAAATTGGACTCACCTAGTCGGACTAATTGTCCCATCGTCAACAACTTCGAGCATAGTGATCCCAACAACTACCGGCATAGGTGTGACAT